TTTTTTTTTTTTTTTTTTTTTTTGTAAGAGAGACGAGGGCAGAGGAGGCTGACCTCCCCAAACGTAATTCAGGATTCAGCTTAATAGACTGTTCGAGTGGGTTATGCTTTCCCATTGCAGCAGAGGTTTTCTCGTCTCCATCCACTGCCTCCTGGACAAGAGCAAGCGCCACCCCTCTTAAACCCAAATCAGGTAAGTGAAAAAAAAAGGGCATACGTGATCCCACCCCCAGCTCCCGGTCTGAAAATAGATCTAGACATTGCATGCAGCAATTTCTTTTTCTATGAAAGAAATGGATTGGAATTTGATCCGAGTTCAGCTTTATACAAAGTTTATAGTAAGTTTATACGCTTTGTTTTTCACGAAGAAGACGAAGAAGACGAAGAAGACGAAGAAGACGAAGAAGACGAAGAAGACGAAGAGAACGAAGAAGACGAAGAGAACGAGGAAGACGAAGAAGACGAGGAAAAAATCAAGGGGGTAAGAGTGTTGTCGGATTTGCGTATACCTTCTGGATAACCCTCCCCACAGGCTGAAGGTGGTAAGAGTCACAACCAACGCATTGGTATATATAAGACAGTTTACTCGGGGTAGATTTTACAGTGTGGGGAGACCTGGTTGATGCACACAGACGAAACAGTCAAGCCAACACCATAAGCAGAAGCCAGCGATATTGCAAGACATCCATCATCACAAGGAGCAATTCTATCTAAGGGGGATACTTCACTTGGACTGGGGTTCTCCGTTTCCAACATGTAATTGCAAGACATCCATCATCCCTTCTGGAGAACGAAGCAAATACAAAAACTACTTATGATTGCAGACGGGGGGGGTTCTCCGTCTCCAACACCAACAGCGTTCCATATTGACCTGATTAAAGGTCGACACCAAGAGCTTTCCGAAGGGATGGCGCAGGGTATAGACAGGCTGCCTACCGTCTTCACCCGAATAGAAAGCCTGGTCATTATCGCTGCATCTGGACCGAAAGTTGTGCTAAATACAGCTATAATGACCGGGCATTCTATTCGGGTGAAGACGGTAGTCAACACAAGGTTGACAAATGACCTCAGGCTTGCTTTGACTAAGAAGGAGGCACATTCCCGTATTCCTGACGATAACTCGTCAGGGCATAAAGACAGGCCAAGTACACATCAGAAGGTTAACCTAGTGCTGTGATGCAGATCCTAAAAGCCAAATTCCAATCTGTGTTACGAGTCGGACCGTCCGGATCACCTTGGTTGCCAGAGTGCACAAGCTAGATCTGGCTGGCACTAGCTCCAAAAGCTAGAACCAGTATATGGTTAAAGCAATAAGGACCGTTACGTTCTCATCGGGTGAAGATGATAGGTGATGGCCACGCTGGCATGCAGATCCCGAAGACCAACTCCAATGCCAAATAGCATCCCAGCATGGCCATCACCTACCATCTTCTCCCGATAAGAACGTAAGGTCCTTCTCTCTCTATCTATTCTGAAAGTTGTTGCCCCATATACAGCTATAATGACCATACCTGGTTCCAGCTCTTCGAGGTAGAGTCAGATCCAGCTTCTAGATGACCAGAGCAAATGACAGCCCCCCCTAGTCATCAAGAAGTTGCCCCACCCTCCTGACACCCTAAGAAGGGGACCAGAGCAAATGACAGCCCCACCCTCCTGATACCCTAAGAAGGGGATCATTGAATCAACAATTGAAATAGATCTGCAAATGAGGGCCAAGGAAGGTTAGACAAAGAAACCTTGTCGGTATTCCAAATAGTTAAAAACTTCCAACTTGGAGAAAGATTGGGAAACAAATGAAGAAATGAATAAGCAAAACCAACATGAGCCAACAAGTATGAATCAGCAATTGAAATAGAGCTGCAAATGAGGGCCAAGGAAGGTTAGAAAAAGAAACCTTGTCGGTATTCCAAATAGTTAAAAACTCCCAACTTGGAGAAAGATTGGGAAACAAATGCAGAAATGAATTAGCAAAACCAACATGAGCCAGCAAGTATAGCTATTACGAAGGCAACAAAGTGAATAGAAGACGAGCTCACTTCCAACAGAAACTGCCAGCGATAGGCTGGAAAAAGTACCAGAAGTTCACGTACACTGTCTTCTCCTGCTTGGCAGGCCTAGGGCTCTTCTGTTTTCTTTTTAAACCACCAGTAGTTGGCCCAGCTATCGGCCGCAGCGCGTTAACACGCCGCGGCATTTGGGCTTCCGCCTACCGGACCACATTGGCTGGAGGGCGCAGCCAAAACGAAAACAAAAAGGCGCCGCGGCGCTTCGGTAAAACTTGGCGCGCAGGGTCGATGAAAAGCAGCGCCTCCTCCTCATGGCCCTGGCTCCATTCTATTCTGCGAAGCATCACAGTTTCCTTCCCTGTGGCATTGCCACCAAGTCATAAATACATCAGATTGACAGATACACCCTCCATGCACTTCCTCCATTATGGCCAATGGAAACCTTGAGGGAGAACGTGTCCACACTTTCTCTTCCTCCCTCATCACAGTCCCGAGAGGACTCAAGTAATCACCTGCTCATCCTTTCGAAATTTGTGTATTCCAGATCGCAAACCACTTGCGATGCACGGCAAACATGTGCAATCAAATAAGGAAAACAAAACTGCTGGCGGTGCAGCATGCATGGCGCAGCAAGACCATTGACTTCTCAATGCAGAACAAAGGAGGACCCCATTCTACAGCAGAAATGACTTGGTAAGAGTGATGCAACATTTATAAGGAAAAATAAGCAAATCAACCTGGGGGGTGAAGCAGGGGAAGGGGGAAAAGGTGGGCAGCATAAACTATGCATGACCGCTATCACAATAGGAATGAAGAAAAAAGAAGGGCCTCCTTCACAGCAAGAAACATACTGGAAATCAGCCTCAGGAACACGCGGATTCAGCTAAGGAGATCTGTCTACTGATCAGTGACTGCGAAGCTACGGCGGGTGCACGAAAAAGCACATCAACTTCTGACAAAAGCACTACATTTACTGTCCTTCGGGACATCCGTTAAAATTGGAACGATACAGAGAAGATTAGCATGGCCCCTGCGCAAGGAAAAAGCACTGCATTTACTCGGTTGTAGCATTGGGAAGCACACTGAAGTACAGCCTCTCTCCTTTCACTACTTTTGTGTTTCTTGCTTTTTGCACTTTGCACTTTGCACTTTGCAGTTTGAAATTTGAAGTTTGAAGTTTTTGTCTGGTTGCACCTTTCCAAGAATCTTAACATGGCTGATAGACAGAAGAAGAAAAGGTGACAACAGTTCTTGTGATACTTACGTGTAAATTCGTACAAAAACACGGACGTAAAAATCAACAGAGATGGAAATCAATGGTACAATGTATCTCTTATATCGATTGGCATGACTCTGCAAGCGTACCACCAAAGAGGAAACGACAGCAAATCACACAAAAAGTTGTCAGAAAACACGTCAGCACTTCTCCCCTCCACCTACCAGTCCCCTCACCTCTTGTTGATGGCTTCTCTACTCATTCAGTTCAGAAATGTCTGAATATGATAAGGCAGTATCGAAAGCCCCGAAATGCTGTCATGATAAACAATGCACAAACGCACATCCGTATGTGACTGTGTATATATATCGTCAAACAGAGCTGCCTGGTAAACCGTAGGCAGAGAGGGAGAAGAGGACAACAAACGAGGGGCTGTGACAAACTGTTTCCTCGGAGTTTCACTGACTCATGAGGAAGCTGAACCCTCAACAGTCTGCAGAATCCCCTAACCAATTACACTGTAAGTGACAATCCACCTTAACCCCGGTTGTGGTTAAGCATCAATGACTGCCCGACAACTGATACCTTGAGGTAGGCACCAACCACTGCCCTCAAGGTACCCGTGACGAAAATCAAAGCAGACTATCACTCACCCACAGCAGATATATAATATAAGTATATATACTGTATAATTATAGTATAACATACATACATGTATATCGTCATATCCTCAATTTAACATTATATATATATAGATTTTGGATATATATATATATAGATTTTGGATAACGTAGATTATCATTTACAGTGTAATCAGTGAGGGGATTCTGCAGACTGTTGAGGGTTCAGCCTCCTGATGAGTCGGTGAAACTCCAACGAAACAGTTTGTCACAGCCCCTCGTTTGTTGTCCTCTTCTCTCTCTCTGCCTACGGTTTACCGGGCAGTTCTGTTTGTGACGATATATATATCGTCAAATAGAACTGCCCGGTAAGGC